CCCAAACAAGGGATCGAAGAACATCAGCAGACCTTATTTCATAGCTGGCGCCGGTTATAATTCTCGCTGCACGGTTTTGGAACTTTTGAAGCTTATCTTTCAGCTGTTGGTTACAGACGTCCCATAATGGACTACAATAATCAAAATACGGTTCTATCAAGGCTCTGTAAATGGTATGCAGGGTATTTATAGGAACATATGGCTTAATTCGTTGCATTGCTCCTATGCCGGCCCCAACTTTCTTACAAATCATTTCAACATGCTCATGCCAATTAAGGTTTTCATCAACTCATGAGCAAGAGTTATAAATTGGTTAGTCATCATTACTGGAATATCATAAGTAATGAGTTCCAAGGAACGACATGCAAGTGGAAAGACATTAACAAGGGAGTTATGCAAGGAACTGTAACCGGACCACATTTCTTTAATTTATTTATTAATGATTTGGAGATTAAAAACTGTTCCAACACCCCCCTTGTTAAATTCGCGGATGATTCCTCACTTTTGGTACCGATTTTGAAGAATACCCAAGATTGTAGTTCTAAAGCCATAGATGAATTTAAGGACTGGTCCGAATCAAACTCTTTACCTTTAAATGAGGGTAAATGTAAAGAAATGATTATATTAAAGAAAGGACGATCAGAGGATTGTGTATGACCAATTGATGGTTTTGAACGGCACTCTAGTCTTGAAATACTGGGGCTAACCTTTGAAATGACAAGCAGATTTGAGAAATGTGTTAAGAAAAAGTTGGTGAAAGCAAATAAATGCTTGTTTGTAATTCGAAAGCTGAGGAATGAAGGATATAGTCAAGACGAATTAGATCTTCTTTTTAGGTCACTGGTCCTGTCACAACTCACCTATGGCTTATCAGTAATTGCTGCATCACCACCGGAGTTAACAACTATTCAAAACTTCTTAACTCGTTGTTATAAAAGAAGATACACATCAGAACAAATAGATATTAATATACTGTTAGAGCAGACAGATAGAAAGCTGTTTGAAAAGCTGTGTAAACAAAACAATCATCCGTTAAGAGAAATTTGTCCAAAAATTAAAGAATATACAGTAAAACTTAGAACACAAGAGGCACAGTGGCCAAAGATTTCTACCGAGCGTTTTAAAAATAGTTTTATCAATAGATGTATTTTTAGATATAATTTAGCTTTGCAACTCTAATATAACCTAAAAAATTTTTTTTAATGTTAAAAACTTGTAATATATTTTAAAATAATTTAAATTGTAACACTTGATATGTAATTTTATCAATTGATTATTAATAATAATAATAATACAATAATAATAATAATAATAATAATAATAAGTCATAGTATCAGTATTATACTTTGAACCGATATACATTAATTTGGTCTTAGTTGGGTGGTGTTGCAGTTTATTTCGAGCAAGCCACTCACCGACTTTTTTCAGGTCATTATTTAGATTTTCAGTAAGTTCCTCAATAGTTTTGGCAGAAGTATAAATTTGAGTATCATCAGCGTATAGGTGTGGCGAAGTTTTTTCGAGGCATTCGGGTAAATCATTAATATATAATAAAAACAGCAAGGGACCAAGAATTGATCCCTGCGGAACTCCGCACACAATCGTTTTAGGTGATGACATTGCACCGTTGACAATGCATGCTTGCTCTCTATTAGTTAGATAGGACTTAAACCAATCCAGTTCCACATTTTTTATTCCAAATTGATCATTCATCTTTTGCAATAAGATTGTATGATCAATAGAATCAAAAGCTTTTCTAATATCAAGGAAAACAACACCACCCAACTGACCATTATCCATGTTCTCATAAAGTGTGTCACACATTTGAATGAGTGTTGTTAAAGTTGAATGCTTAGGCCGAAAGCCAGATTGATGTTTAGATACCAGCGAATTATCATTCAAAAACTTATAAATCTGGTTGAAAACCGATCTCTCTAGTATTTTACTGACAATAGGCAATATAGATATCGGTCGGTAATTTTCACATCTTTGTCTATCATCAGATTTAAAAATTGGCATTACCCACGCCTTTTTCCATTCATCAACATATATCCCAGTTTTGATTGAAAGATTATAAATCCATGTTAATGAAGGACCAATAACTTCCGCGGACAATTTAAAGTGCCCCTGTCACAAAATGAGAGTTTACATTAATGGAATCGTCTTGAAACGTAGATTATGAAAATACAAAACAGATTTAAAATTGAGCTTGTTTTCACAGAGTAATAAGGCAATGAAATTTGAAAATTTCAAATTTTAACGGCAAAAGTTTTTGAAAACCGCGAAGCTGGGAAATTGGTAACTAATACGTCATAGTAGGAAGACATTGCCTACTCGCCTAAGCCAAAAGTATATAAATCAGAAGTGAGAATCACAATCAAGCTGGTCAAAATTCGATACAAATGTTTTCGTCGAGTTCAGATACGGAAAATAACAGTTACCAAAGCGATGACTGACTGAAATTATATTCCTGAGCCGTATGAAATCGAGTGAAATTGATGAAAACACCAGTGAAGCGTAGTCAAGCAGCGCCGATCATTCGTGCGCACGACGTTGGTCGATATGTTAATGAACCAGTGCCCGACGAAGATTGGCTCAAAAGTTACCGTGAAAAAAAGCAATCACGACGAACGTCTTAAGCAACTACAACAAAGGCTTGATAGTTCAGAAGAATTGAGTAAATGGTAAATATTTTGTTGCGTGACTTGACCTTGCGTTTCGTGACTTGCCAGTCAGTTCTACATACACAGTATTCAAATTACAAAATATAATATTTCAGGTGTAAACGTGGCAATTGTCGCATTGAACTGCTTCGTAAATTATGCTAAAGAGTGTCAATGTTGTATGGAAATTGAGGAGTGCGTCGATTCTCTACACAGTAACATTGTGATTTGTGATGCAAGATGAAGTCGCGCCTTCATGTATAATTCAACAGCTTATCACTAGATAAGTGAGCCCTCCGTTCAGCAGCCACGAAATTACGAACAAGAAAGAAGCAGGAACACCGTCAAACAAACACAGAAGATGGGAAAATAAAGTTTTATTTATCAACATATTGAAATTAAGAAACAGTTTACCGTACCCGAGTTTACTATCAGTGAACACACGCATGCGGTACGGTAACTGAGAGTTTATATGCGGTACATGCTGTACAATTATTGAATTATTATATATTTACATGTGTCCACATGCCAGTAAGCGACTTATTAAAAAGACTTATTTATTAATTTATAGATTCTGAAGGAGAACAGCATATAGAAACTTTGTGTAGATGGTTTATGGACAACTAGGAAATAGACATTTTTGCACATACGAGAAAATAATGCCTGTAGGCTGCATGCTATTGATGAAGACTTTGTAGGATTTGTAGAGGACAGCTCTTGATCTTATAGAATTATTTTTCAATAAATAAACCTATTACACTGTATAAGCGTAGTAATATTATACTGTATTGCGTATAGAAACTGCACATTTGCTATATTTATGACTTATTACAATATTATTTTGCTAAAGAGGCTGAAATTTAAGATTAAGATTTGTATCTCATGTTTTCCTGCACTTCGTGCGCCCGGGTTAATTTGTGCAAAGTGTTGCAGCGCGTTCAAGTATTTTTCTGACTTGTTTTTCGTTCCAGGCATGTTCCTAGCAACTGTGGCAATGACTAAGTTATTTCATTAAGTTGCTTCAATGGATTATACTTTGTGATACATTTTCTACACATCCCCACAGTGTATCAGGTTTCATGCCACAATTTGTTACAAAATCTGCATATTGTACGGGTTTTCCCTGCGGTCAAATACAACGATTTTCACTTATACAATTCTACTTTACCTGTCTAATCTAAAATACAAACAGTACACATTGCTTGTATACGTAAGAAATTGGCTTTCATCCACTATATTTAATATTTTGACAATATTCACTCATATATTGTCGCGATATTTTATATTTCGCATGGTAAATCCATTGACTGTGGCCATTAATATCTATCGCGCTTTCGAGTTTCGTGACTATGGCCATATCGACTGACTGCATTGAAGCAGCTTCTTTTACAATTTGCAGTTTCTTTTTACAATAACGAATTTGGAATAAAAATTGCACCTTGGATCTCATATTGCTCGTTTAAGGTGCACGAAGTCAACCCGTCTCCTTTTCGCTTCGTGTATCTCGTCTCCAGTAAAAGGTATAAAATGAAGTGAAATGCCTTTCTCTGTATCTGTGGTATTAGAACAACCGCCTACTACACATATATTCGGCAATTTGTCATTTTCGTGACTGTTATTTGCGCAATTGCCTCCTCTATGATAGTACATGCAATAGTATTTCTACATCAGTGAGCTAGATACGTTCCTACTATTACGTCACACGCATTGTTTCGTCCCAGTCTCTTTTGCGCGGTTTTCAGATTTTTCACAAGGCCAAATTCAATGTTTAAACGGCAATAACTTTTACACTAAAAGAGCAATTTCGATTCTGTTTTCGAATTTCCGTATATTTTGTATCATAGATTTCGAAAATATAAACTCTCATTTTGTGACAGGGACACTTTAATAAGAAGTTAGTATGGTTTCTCGTGCAATTTGAAAAAAAGATATACTCGTGAGTTTTTCAAACAGTTCAAATTGCACTCGTCCTTCGGTCTCGTGCAATTTTGATAGTCTTTGAAAAACTCACTCGTGCATGTTTT